ATCAGTTACTAAATAAAATACTGAACTCAGCACAAAAGCAGGAGCTTGAAGTCAATAACAATAGATGGGTCTAGGAGGGAAAAATCAAGAGGTGTCAGCTTTCTGACACCATGAAAAGCTGGAAGGTTACTTCACCATGCAGTGAAATAGCTTCATGCACAGAATGCAGCCTGCATACCAGGAGGGGATTAATTTTTATGAGCAGAAGTGGAATAAAAATTGTTTAAATTAAGCCCACATGTGAAAAATGAAGAAAGGCTGCAAAGAGGCTCATGCTTTAGGGAGTGTCAGCCTCAGAAGGCTGGGGAAGACCCAGCTGTGCCCCAGCAGCTGGTACCTCATGGGCTGTGAAAGAAATTGGACCCGGCCCCCCACTGCAATATTATGGAGACTTTTTGCAAAGTGTAGGGCTGGTTCTTGTCCAGTTGGGTTGTGACATTTGGATTCCACTTGGCTGCATTTCAAGTGCACATATTGAAAATTACATCCCTCAGCAGAGGGATGAAGTTGCCATCTTGAATGGAAGAAGGTCTATTTATAATGACTTTGTAGGTATTTTTAAAGGCCAATAAAAGAAAAACGTGTGACAACTGGTCCATGTCTAATATGACAGACAATACCTTGTAGGTTTTGATTGAGAATAACCACATTTCAGCATAGCACAGGTGGTATCATCCACCCTTTCCCTTATCGAATTTACCTCAGTCAAGGAGGCAAGGCTTCTGCCATTTGTAACAGCCATGGGAATTTTCAGAATAAACAAAGAACCAGAATTCAGAGTATAATTGGCTAAAAATATACTGGTTCATTCTCCCTCATATAGCCAGTCTGCTGATATTTTAACTGAAAACTTGCCATGGCAGAAGACCACTCCTTTCCTCCCTAACTAGCGTCTGATGTATTCAGAAAAACATGTGGGGCCATCAACCAGTGTGCCTTAGGGTCATCTCTGATCTCTCAGAACAGCAATGGAATCAGATGCCCTGCTTACCCCTCCCTTCTGGACTGCTTTGGATACTATAAATGGCCACGGTAAAATACAGACTGGTCCTGCTTTCAGTGAGGTCAGCATAGAAAAACTACTATTGATTGTGAAGGGAAGAAGATCCCTCTCTGCTAGGAATATTCACAGTAATTAATCACGTATGAGCTATAAAATTCAAACAACTTCATTAAAAAATACTACTAAGTGAGCTCTGTTCAGGTTCCTTTTCCATGTTAGAGTGTTATTATAGGATGCCATCTGAAATGTAGCATTTGTGGGAATACTGCGTTGCCTTAAGTACCAACACATGTTGCATGGGGTTGAGTGTTTGATCCATATTCACCAGCCAGCAGCAGAAAATGAACAAACAGCTATGACACCTATTTAGGGCATCTGCAGTTCTTCCAGGATGACGTCACCTGCAAATGAGCATCGTGACTATGTAAATCTAAAAATCATTCTGTGCAAGGGCAGTCCTACAATGATACTAAATTCTGAGACCACCACAGAAAATGGAGGTAGTGATGAGTCTGCTTTGACCCAGACTCCCTCAGGGAAGAAGGGCCAAGTCAGAGTTTTCTCAAGTTTGTGAACATCACCACCATTCTCACAGGCCCAGATATCATCTCTAATTTTTCTTCACCACCTTTTCCCAAGTTGCATCCTGCTGTTCTTAAACTATGTGACTTATTAATGAAATATAATCACCCCTATATCAGCTACAGATAGCCAGTTCTAGTCCCAGCTGGGAGGACCTGTGCAGGTAGCCCCTATGCACAGGGGGAACCACACACCAGCAGAAGTCACTTCCCAGTGATGTGAGCTATGCCAGATGACAAGGCAGATACTTGGGCTCCTTCTGGATGCTGCAAAATGGTCTAAAATGGGCTTAGCTTCCTTGCCCCTCTTCCCCCCTAGAGATATTGGTTTTCACTGTTTTTAATGTGTGTAATGTGCCTCAACGTGCTGCTGGTTTATGGAAGTGCCACTGCATGGTTTTCAGTGTCTGGAGGACAGACTGCTTGGACCTCCTTGGACTGCTTGAGGAGACAAGGCCACCTCAAAAATTTTCCTGTCTTCTTGGCCCGCAAATAATTAAGATGTATGAACAGGCTGTTTAGTTATTTATTTATAGGTTCTTTGGGGACACTTATCATGGGCAGCAGAGTGGCAACAGCCTGATATGCTAATGGGCAGCAGTGCAACCCTATCCCGCTGGCTGGCCTGTCCCAGAGAAACGTCTGCAGTGGATACACCTGCGTCCTGGAGCAGAGGAGAGCTGATGTGCCATGGTGAAGGGAGAGGAGCTGGCACCCTCCTCCAGCCCACTCTGCACCTTCCTGCACCAGCGTACTCCTGCCTTTCCACTCTGTTGGGGTCCAGAGGCTACCAAGTAGTGGTAGATGGTGGCATTTGCCAAAAGGATATGGCTGCAGGACTCTCTGGTTTACTGTCTCTGGCGTGGAGAGAAGGCCCTGTCTCTTGACCCTGAATTACCTGTTAAACACCTGATCATCTTTTTACACACTCTGGCACCCTGAAGGACTAGATGTTGCAAGGACAGTGGCATGGGCAGGAGGAGACAGCACTGTGGAGACTTTGTCAAAAGACAGGAAAAAGATTAGAAAACACTGTCCAACTTGCAGAAGTGGTCAGAGATTGATGGATTGCTCTGCCTCACTCTGGGTAGACTCTGGGGAAATGGTCACGAGCTGGAGTGTGCAAGGTACTGCATCCTGTAGGCCCCCTCATCCCTGGGCGTCCCATCACTACCTGTTTCTGTGTGGTGTTTGGTCCAACAACTTGCCCCTAGATAAGGAAGGCAACTGGAAGCAGATCTGCCTCCTCAAACCAACACACAGGCCTTTAGAGTGTTTTCAGTGGAATGATGGCCAACACGCTGCTCACCTCAACAGCCGCAGAAATGGTGCTTTATAGGTTCAGCCTTTGGGAACCACCTTTTAAAAGAAATTCTCTTACTGATCTCTGAAACTCAACTTGGTCCTGCCTAGGTTGGATACAAGTTATGAATGCTCTTAAGTTTTTTTGGTGATTATTTTTTTTCTAAAGGAAGAAGAAAAGCTGAAGTACTAGAGAAAATCCTACCTTATGAAAAATATGTTCTTCTCTCTTCTCTATTGCTGAATTTATATCAGGTATGCTAGAGGCATCACAAACTAGAAGGAATGTTGTCAGAAAGTCTTGGTGTTCTCTTAAAACAAACTACTGACGCAATTGCTCCTTTTGGTTTAGCATATCTCCAAAGCAAACAAGAAAGCATTTTGCAAAGCTGCCAAGAGAAAACATGCTAAAACAACAGTGTGAGAAGTAGCTCATAGTACGGAAAACCTTTTCATATGGATATTGTCATGCACAGGGATCACCTGCTCCTGTTTCTGCCACCTCCCAGTGACGATTCTGCAATGGCTTACATGGAAAAAGGCGTAGGAAAGTGCTTGTGTATTTTTAGCTATCTTTTTAAAACGCAGTTCAGCAGCTGGAGAAAGGTAGGAGAAACCAACACCACGTAGGCAATCACACATGGTGGACATCAGAAGGTGCCACGTAGACCTCAGTTTCTGAACTTCTGAGGTAAAACATGAGGTTAAATACCAGGAACAGATTCTGAGCTCACTTCTTCTGTGTCATTTCACTGAGGATTCCAGATTTGTTCCCGTGCTGCTATGGGGGCATCTCCTTCATCAAGGTCTACTGTTTACTTTTTCTGTGGTATGCAAATTTTAACCCAATCATAGTTTGTTGGTTTTCTTAAGAAATGAAAAATAAAAGAAAAAGAAAAAATAAAAGAAGAAAAAAGAAAAAAAAGCAGAAGAGGAAAAAGAAAAAGGGAAAGTAAAAGAAAAAACTATGAAAAAGGAAAAAAGATAAAAGAAAAAAGAAGAAAAAAGAAAAAAGGAGAAAGAAAAAAGAAGAAAAAAGAAAAGGAAAAAGAAGAGTGGAAAAAAAAGTTGGGGAAAGGAGGGGAGATGAGGAAAGGCAAGGAAAGGAGAAAAAGGAGAAAAGGTAATAAAGGGAAAAGGAAAAAAAAAAGGAAGGAGGAAAGAAGAAAAAGGTAAAGCAAAAGGTAAAGAAAAAGTTGTAACTTTTCTTCCTGGGGTTTTTGTGGTGCTCAGACTTGTGAAATGTATCACAGCCTGACTGTTGACCTATTACAACTGCTTGAAGACCTCAGCCAAAAATTCTGATACTGATACAGCAACATATAATCTGTTCAATCTAAAAATAAAGACTGATACTTAGAAAATAGTGTAAGATTAATTTATTTACAAATATTTCATCCAGTTATATTTTAGAAAAACGTATGTTTTGAAGAAGAATAAAAGTGTAATTCAGCAATTTTAGACACATTGATCAGAAATTTTAAACACACTGATGCTTTGCTGTTCCTTGGAGGTATTTTTAGTGTTGGCTTTTCCTTTTCTGGAAGCTTCTAATGTAACAATACCTTGCACCACAGTGCTGATACGGGGATCAGTGATTCATTAAAAGCTAATCTATGAGACATTAGGTTTACAAGTGTCACAGACACATTAGATTTGAGAACAAGGAGGGACACAGTGGTGAAAGGATTGTCAAATATACAGAGAATATCCCCATAAGTGTATAATACCATTAGTTTTGCAGGAAAGCATTAGTTCTGAAAATTAATTCTATATGTGTAATTACTGGTCACAGCTCTTTAGGAAGTGGTATTATAGCAAGTTAGACTGAAATCAGTCAAAAGACGTTTTATTTACTTTTTGCCATTTGAGGGTTAAGCAGCACTCCTTATATTCAGAAATCCCTACATCTGTAAAAAACCCACAAATATCATACATATCTAATCAGTCTAATAATTCTAATCAGTCTAATAATTCGGATATCTTCATTTTCACGTGATGTACACAGAGCCCTTCAGACTAACTCTTGGCTAATTCCTTCACTATGAATGTCAGTCAGTTACCTACAGGGTTTGATATAGTCTTTATAGAAAGAGAAAATGGCAGAAGCCGCTTTACTTTTCCTCCATGGATAGTCGGTAAAGATTCTCGCCCAAGTACTCCAGCCTCTCCCTTTGTTCCATGTCCTGGTACAAGCCTTTGGGAACCTTGCTCAGGCCATAAACCAGGCCATACAGGCAGCCAGCGATGGACCCAGTAGCCGCGCTTTCTCCTGCAGGTTTAAGCACAATTGCAACGGTCTCTTGGTGTCACCTTCACATATACAAGCAAAATACTGCAGTGCACAGGGAAGGAAATGCTACATGCTGATGGAGTGTGGTGGGGACGTGTTGGGTCAGTCCAAAAAGCTGGCAGCACCCCGTGTCCTGCCTCTGGCAGTACAGGTGAGGATGCCTAGGGAAGAGAGTGATGCCAAGGCAAGCTCATGGAGACACCACTGTGGTGTGCACTGCTGGGCTGGGAGCTCTCTTGTTTTCCAGAAGATCTACCCCAACACAGCAGCTCTCATAAGCAGCTAGCCATTGGTGGGAAAAAAGGAGGGAATAGTAGTTGCAGGGTCTCTGCTATACAACAAAGGTCCTGGACTGGAGAATGTCCTTTCCCTCCTCACAACACAGCATGTCACTGCACATGATTTAAAACATCCAGCCTTGGTGAGTAGCACTGATGCTCCATGCATGTGGTGCCCACAGGTTTGCGCCTGCCATGCTCTGTAGTGAGGGACTGTGAGCTCCCACCACTCCATTGGGGCAGGTGAGCAACCCAGAGCCCCTGCAAAGGGTCCACACCAGGCAGGGAGGGAATGGGTGTTTCGGAGCTGGGGTCCTACCCCCCAGCTATGCTGGCCCTCCTGAAAGCCCAGCGAGATGCATCTGCCAGTGAGAAAGTTATCTCACGCATGAGAAAGTTATCTCTCGTAAAGCTGTAAAAATACTGAACTGTGTGTCTCTAAGTGATGGATTTCACCTGCCTGGCATTTGTTTGGCTGCTGTGTTATTTTTCTCCCTTTCTTGGTTTTACTAGATGCAGCTGAAAGGTTGCTTTGCCAAAGGTGCTTGTGTTTTGGCAGGAGAAGATGTCAGTCCTTTAGTAAGCCATACTGGATTTACTCCTCATGAGATGTAGATGGAGCAACATTTGAAAAGTGCCATAAACAGCTTGTGTAGCAGCTGCCGCCACAAGAATGGGGTTTAGAGGATAAAACCAGAGGAGAGGATGTAACAGACAACAAGGCAGACTGGCCAACAGAGGCACCTGACAGCCAGGAGCGCTTTATCCCACTCCTGGTGAGGGAGCAGAGAGTGGGAGGCACAGGGGACCCTCACCTCCGTGGAACATGGAGCGGTTGCAGAGCTCTGTCCAGTCCCCGCCGCAGCCCAGCAGGGCGTCGTATGCAATCATGGGGGCGTCGTGGCCTCGCCTTCCACCCCGGCCTTCAGAGCTCCACCGCCTGTACGTCTGTGGGAGAGACAGCACTGTCAGGGGAGGGCATGAGAAGTGGGGGCATGGGGCACTTGGCCACACCAGGATGGTGTCTCCTTTGCTAAGTGGGAATAGCCCATGGGGCAGAGAAAGGGCATAGGCAGCTGTGCTGCAGGCACCACTGCTTGTGGCATGGGAGCAGCTGGTACAGCGGCAGCCGCAGACTTGTGATGCCTGAGGTGCAGGTATAAGCCTGCACTCCAGCTTAATGCACAGAGTTCTTGGCGGGCAGAGAAGGTGGTTCGATTTAAGCAAGCCAAGAATGCCGAAAAGCAGAGCAAGATAGATTTCAGGTTCACATCTTGGAAATTCCTTATAATTTAAAAAATTAAAGTTGGTAAGGACTTACTTTGTCAGTCCTCTTCCTGCTTCTGAGAAATATTCTCAACTTCCCTTGCTGCACGTTTGCAAATGTTTTCATTAGCTAAGTTTTCATGGGAGGTGAAAAAGTTCTGATTCAGTAATTTTTTTAGGCACTTAATTTCAGACTATGTTAATTCAAGCCCCTTTCTCTGTCTTTTTCTTGCCTAACCTTTTCTCTCCTCTTCTACAAGCATTTGTTGAATAAAAGGGAAAATAATTTGCAAATGTAAGAAACATTTCTTCTTCAGAAGAAGAAAGAATAAAAAAGATCTCCAAACCCACAGTGAGGTTCGCAAAGGAAAATTGGATTTTCTCTAGAGGAGATACCCCAGAACTCAATTTTTCCTGCCCCAAATCCCCAAATTAACTCAACACCAACAAATTTATGATTAAAAAATACCTTCCTATTAAGAAATGGGCAGCCTTTTTTCCAGAAGTTTAAGTTACTTTATGGCAAGTGGAGTTGTTGCTGCTTGGCTGGCTCTGGGCTTCTGCAACAGGTGTGAAGGGTTTGCATTTCTCTCTATTCACTTTCACCTCGGCCATTTCATACTTGGTTGTGGTTTATCTGCACAACACAGCAGAGTTGGACTAGAGCTTCACTCTGCTGCTTTCCTTTTCTTTTACAATTTAGAGAGTATTTATGCCTTTATGCTGTTCTCTGCCACTTGCAAATTTCCAGCCTTATTGATGCAGTTTGGGCGCTGGTGGAGCAGCACTGACACATGTGCAATACTACCAAAAGCAAGGGTGCTCAGAGTGGAGGTGCTATTCTGGGTGCCCAGCCAGGCGGCTCAAGTGTCGCTCCATTTAGTCCTGCAGGTTGCTGATGCTCTGCACACATCCGATGTCGTCTTGCTGAAATGACTCTACATTAGGGATAACTGTCCTCAGTACCGAACCTGGGGGAACTTAACAGCACCAAGGCAGCACTTCTCAAACTTTTTCATTCTCCTTTCAACTGCAGCACCTTTGTGCATCCCTGTGCTGTGCTGTGGCACCAGCCCAGCTTCCCTCAAGTGGGCCAGCAAGGACTTCGTACTTGGATGGGCTGTCAACATGTACTCTCTCATGCTGACGGCACTGAGCTGCTGCCAAGCCCTAGAGGTAATTCACACATCCCCTCCTTGCTGTCAACCCCTGCTGCCAGTAATTACAGCTGCCTCTGACTTTCTCACCCTTCAGGACCTGACCTGCTGCTGGCTAGCACTCCCTTTTTGTTCCTTTTTTTTCCCCTTTCTAGGTCCTCTCAGTGTTGGTTTAAGCAGCTCCACCTTAAGAGAACAGCAGTCCTCAGAGTCTAATTAACCTGGATGACTTTGGTTTGGTTCCTCCCTCATTTTGTCTCACATTGAGTTCAGGACAGGAAGCAAGCCAGGAGAGTGGGTTTTTTGCAGAAGCAACGCTTATCCCAAGTGTAGAGCAATGTCTGCCTATTCAGTGTGTATCTAACATCTTCCAAATGCACACCACTGAAAAATGATTTATTTTACACTGGCCTATCTTGTATTTATACATTCAAGAAGGGGTAATTTGTCTTTCATCCTCATTTCTCTTGTTATCTCCAAATTTAAGCTGTATACCAGCTTTTACAGAATATGGTCTTTTCTGCTAAGCATTTTGAGGTGTGATTTCTTTTAGGGAGGGAAATCGCCTTTGCAACATGCTCAGATCAATCCAAGCTACATTCGAGGGCTTCACTTTTGCGTACATCTGACACTGTGTCTGCAGAAAGGTGCATCTGGCCAAGCAGGAACATGCATATGGTGACCTGTTGGCAAGAGCAGTGCCAGATATTGGTGCTTTATTAATTAAATGTGTAAAGGCAAGAGGCTATACTCCCAGACTCAAGGGGACAGTTTGTCTGGAGGGAATGCAAAGGAGAACCCTCCTGGGAAGAGGCCAGGCAGAAGGGTTACCTTCTCCTCATTTATTCCTTCCATAGCTATTAACACGCAAACGAAGTGTCTCGACTTCTGCCAGGCTATGATCTCCAGCTGGCAGTGGAGTCTGGAGTCTGAGGGTCAAGCAACATTTGTCCTTTCTTGTTTGTTCATCAAAATAAATAGCTCAATAGGCCAAGATAGTTGGCCTAGGGAAATGAAGGTAAATTTTGCTTCTGCATTAGGAGTTCATGCAGTTCCTTCTTGAAATGTCAATGGGGAAATAACGCTTGGTTTAATCTCTCCTAAAGCTCTCCTAAGACTGCAGTAGTACTGGAAAGAATAAAAAACTAGTAGCAAATTCATGGCACTGAATTAGTAAAATAAACCTGGAAGAGATTCTATTCTTTATGTTTAGAGTGAGCAATTTCTTATTACCCACAATCTGACTTCCAGTGGCACATTTCACTGCATAGATAATCATCTAAAAATACAAAAAGTGACTTAGAATAGAACTATGCTTTAATAGTCTGGAAAAAAAGGATTGATTTATGGGAAAAGGTGACAAGAACCATATACTTATTGCTTAGCTGCTAAGTGGAGAGCTTTGGGAGGTGCCAGCACGTATCAGATAGCTGTAAACACCAGGGAAGAAGACACATTATTTCTCTCGAGTTAAGAAGGTATAACCAGAAGTCATGAGTCAAAGGAAAGATCATGTACACTATAAAATAGCGTCTCATGGGATAAGGGGAAACACCATCTCTCAAAATACTTAAAACTCGCTTGGGCACAGCCCGTGTTAGCAGAGAATCACTTAGGACATCTGTCTTCTACTCAAAGTGCCACAAAATCACGGAATGGTTGGGATTGGAAGGGACCTTAAAGACCATTGAGTTCCAATCCCCCTGCCATGGGCAGGGACATTCTCCACTAGATATGACCAAATCCAGCCTCTCATACCTGGAGGGATTTCTGCGGGACTTTGGCCACAGTTCCATCAGGCTTTAATGAGAGCCCTAGGCAAAACATTTGCTTTTTCCACCCTCAGATAGCCATAGTTTATGTATTGTATGTGCTCTGGGCACCAGATCATTGAGTTTGCCTCTCTGTTTTTTCTGTTTGCAGTGACCTCAGGACTGGTGGCAATTGCTTTTAAAAAATTATTTATTTATTTATTACATTAAGATGGGAGTTGTTTTTTCTTTCTTGAAATTTCAGAAAAAAAAATAAAAGCTTTTTGACTACTCTGGCACTGGAATCAGTTGAAAAATAGCAGTGTGTCTCTTTGAAAACACCTGTCTCAGTTCAGAGCCTTCCCAAGAGCTTTTGGAAGTTGCAATTACCTTTTCTCTCTCCTCTGCGTCATAGTTGTCTGGAAAGACAGGTTGATTCTTATTTTCCTCATTGATTTCTCTCTCCTCCAAATAAAACTGCCACTTGGCTTCGAAGTAAAACCAGTGCTCCTGATATTCTGAAGGCAAAAGAAATTAATGATGCAGTATTTCATCTCTACAACATTAATAAAGTATTGACTGACATGAAAACCCGGGTGTTTTACAGTAACATTCTGCATATATACTAAGTATGCATTTTAATATGGAGTGGGACATCTAATTGGAAACAGAGGATGTGAATTAAGAAAATACTTTCAGAATTTTGTGTTATTTTAATGGTATATTAAAATTACATTAAGATATATCAAGATGAGATTTTAAGAGAATTTACTGAAGAGCACTCCAAGGAAAAGATAAGAGAGAAAAAAATCAACTCTATGCCAAGGTTTTTATTCCTTTATTATGATTAAAGAATATCTAAAAATGCTTCCATGTCCTAAATACAAATTGCCACCTACCTCAGTTATCAGTTTTTAATCACATAAATTCTCCAGTATTCCTGTTCTATTTGCACAGTATTTCTTGTGTGATCTTTCAGGAAAAGGCAGATAGGAAAGGCCAAGTTTTCCATTTGCATATATTATAATGCATATCAAATGCAGTAAACTAATAAATCACACACATTTGCTATCTGTGCCCATAGAAATAGGCCTTTTTTAATAATGATGCGTTTTTCTCCTTCTTTTCTTTCACTTTAGGAAGTGATCTCTAATCATGCTTAACATTCTGTGTATAAATAATCTTGTTAAATTTAGTTTATTTGCAAGCCGGTGCTCTGGTTCACCCTTTTTATAAAGGCTTAAAAAGGCTCCTAAGTCAGTCACACTGAACTGTTAAGCACATAACATGTACCTGCCTGCAAAATTGAGGCTTCTAGGAAACCCTGCCTGGCAAGGTGATGGGAGTAAGGAGTTAGAAAACATGAGATGTACCAGATGGCTAAGTAAGCCAAGGCAACCTAGCAATTCAGTGTGGGACTATTGATGTAAAATAAAATCAAGCATTCCCGCTTTTTCCCTCTCTCCTGCTTGGCCACTCAGTGGTGTGCTGCATGTGGCTTAGGAGTACACACACAACCAAACCATTCCTCTGAAGGATGTAATCTGATTTTGCTTCTTTTCCTAAAATGCCATACAGGTGACCCTCTTTGGCAATTATAACATTTAAAGTAGGGGGTTTTTGTAAAAAAAAGTCCAAGCACCTTTGTAGACCTGATACTTTCACAAAGTTGCCAGTGCCCCAGCCCCAGACAGTAATGAGCCTTCAGCCACGTGCTTCATACTCCTGGGAATGCCCAGCTGCCCTTTTTCTGAGTCCATGACTCAGTTTGGCCTGATCACAAGGAAGCCATTCACCAGACCTAAGAAAGGGGGAGTGTTTAGAAAAACGGAGCAAAAGTGCACTCAGAGCCATCAGGCCAAGGAGAGCATCTAGATCATCTAGATGCATCTACGGCATCTAGATAAAAACAAAGCAAATGTTGTTAGCTGAAGTAAACTATCAACACCCACTCCAGTAGCTGGTTACAGTTGGTTTTAGAAACCTGGCAGGTTTCTTTCCCTTTTTCTTCCCTCCCCCCATTTCCCCCATAAGCATAAATACCTCAAAAGTGAATGTTTTCTATGTTTAACAAGCAAGGAGGTGTGATTATCCCACAGGCTCAGAAACAGAGGTATTGAGCAGTTGCAGGAGATTTTGGTTGTGTGGACCTGTAGCACGCTCAGAAATCCCATGCCATTAACCCTAGCAAGGTTCTGCACCATTCCTTGAGCCCAGACAACGTGACGGTCACCCTCAGGTCCGTGGAACTATCTGGCAAGTAATCGCAACTGGATATCAGAGAGGGGTGTTGAGTCGAATGCTCTGTGACATGGATAACAAACACAGTGTTTGTTATCCTTGGGGGTAATATAGCTAAAATAGCGTTTTCTAAAACTGGAGGACTGTGTTTGGCAGGATTTCTTTGCAGCACATCTCACCAGCCAAGGAGCTTAACTTTAATGCAGGACACTTTTCCCAATACCAAAATAGGACGAAGCTCAACAATACAGGCACTAGCCTCAAGAGTCCAACACACATACCTCCACGCCAAGGGGTCCTGCTCGGGTGGAGTGACAGGGGCCTGCTGCAAAGCCACTCAGAGAGATACTCACTCACATTAATCCTGCACCTGCTCCTCATAGGTCTCTGCTAAAAAAATCCTGGTGTGCAATGAGGCACAGATGAAAATGCAGGGTGTTTCAGGAAGGCTTCCTGGTGCTCCTTTCAGACTTTAAAGCAACAGCTTTCCTTCATGAGTAAATTTTACTTTCTGAGTGATATTGAGTAAAGATTTCCACTGAATTCAATCTTTCTCAACGGCTGTCCCTTAATATCTTTCTTCAATGTTTTAATGTAATGATACTTGTCTGTCCATGGCAGGTCTCACCATTACAAACACATCACTCTAGGGCAAGAGTGTACTAAAATACCTTTGCCTCAGAGACCACATACAATAGTAGCAAAAATAAAGTAGTAATATCAAATTCAGTAGTTATGTGACATTCAGTTGTTTTAAAACAAGGATACAACAGGCTGTATCTTAAATATTTGTCAGAAAAGAAAAAAGTCAAATCTGAATTTGTGGTCAAAAGTTAACTCTTGGTCAGAAGGCAGGTAAAATTTTCTGTAGGTGAAATTTTCCTGGCAGGATGAGAAGAGTCTGGTTTTTCTTATGGAAAATATTGGACTGTACTAATTGATGGAAGGGATCTGAATAATTCATATGTCAGTAGTCAGTTTGCCTAATTACCTGCTGAATATAATTGCCTTCCTCCCCCCTGCCCAGCAATTTCAGAAGACTTCCTGAAAATAAAACTGTGCAGAAGGGCATCGCCATTGCTATTTCTCTTTGTATTTTTGCCACCAATATACCAAGCAGAAGAAGGTGGCACCACCTGTGAAGAGCTTACTTCTCTGAGCAGAGAAAGCAGGAGGACAACCTGGGGAAAGAGGAGAAGGGGAAAGCAGCAAGATGGAAAGACTAGGGAGTGATGTTTCTTCAGTGCCTTCCTAGCTAAACACAGTTTTGAGAGAATAATTTTTTTTGGTTCCGACTCCTTACCTGCCATGTGACGAATGGTCTTCTTGCAGTATTCTTCAGCCATCGGCACAACCTTCATCATCTCTCTTCCCCACTGCACAAGCGGTTTCCCTTGTATTGCGTATGACACAAAGAGAGCTGTGCATAGGGACCCTAGAAAACCTGGAATTTACAAATAACGAGGATTACTAATGTGCGGTCTGTACTGGTCGCATCCTTACCTTGTTCCTCATAAAATCATCAGTGGAACGCTGGCTGTTGGGTAGACTGATGAATGTACATAACAGATCTCCACCTGTTTGCAGGCTGACCCGTGGCATGTTGAGATTATTGGCTAATGTGTCGTGTCTGCTGGTTTGTGACTTATTTTATATAGAAGGGAGCTTGTGTTCTCTGTGGTGTAACGTGACAGAAATTGAGGTAGGGGTCAAAAATAAACATTGCCCACCAACATGATGCTGAAAATCTAATTGAAGTCACATGAAATAATTGCCTTGCACAAAGTGATACAATTACAAACTATATCATCTTGCTTACAGGAACATCCAGCCTAAGAGCAGTGGTTATTAGATCTAACACTATTTCTGGCTCATTTTACTCTAAGGGGACAAGCCCATGTCCCCTTAGAGAAGACAAGCAAATGTCCAAAAAGACATGCTGTCTGCCTCCTTAGTTAGGTCTTCTACTTTGATTACAAATATTGTAATATTGTAAATATTACAACAATTGTAACTGTTGATGGGCATGCAACACTTCCATGACATCAGAAACAGAGGGGCTCATTTCTCATGTTTGCTTGTACTCTTGGCATTCCTCAAAGGCAACAAAACCAACTCAGTGCAGTGTACCAAAGAAGTTTAAGAAAACAGCTCAGTCACTTAAATAAATCCCAGGTGAGCAAAGTATTGATGTGTGTGCTTCTCCAGGTATGGGTCCAAAAGCATTCACTCATGCACAGAGGTAAGCATGAACTTTGTGTGTTTCGCTGAAGGTAAAACCACATTCTTTTAGGAGGTTACAAGTCCAGATGAGATGATTACCAATTCTCTCTGCCATGAGACCTGCAATACTAGGTCAGGCCCAAGACACATCTAACTAGAATCCAATAGATACTTTCATAAAGAATAAAAGCCTAGGTAGGGCCAGCTCAAAAGGTCTCAGAAAGATATCATCTAGCTCAGATGCCACAAAGATCCTTGAGTGCCACATTCACCATGAGGGTGGCCACAGAGGGTTTAGAGGGTCAATCAAGGGACTAACAGGGGGCAGTGGGACAAGTCAGTGCAGAGGGTAGTAGAGGCTGGGATGTGCCCTGAGGATTTTCAGGGGGTTGGCAGTCTCCTCCTGCCCACTCCCCAGGCTGCCTGTCCCCCTGCTGCTGCTGCCCTGCTCCCTCTGCTCATGGCAGTCCTGCTGTCCCTCACTGGGGAAGAAAGCAAGCCCTGGCCAAGGTTTTGGGCTCTGCAAGTAATGGCAGTACAGAGTGAGCCTAATTGGTTTGGCTTCTCCATTCCTCAGAGCTCTCAGGCTAGCTTAGGGACAATTTTAATTATACAGCTTGATTGCTTTTGACAGTGGCAGCCCTTCTCTTCCGCTTGGCCTGATCCCCTTTGAACCCAGGCATATCTGTGGACTTTGCAGTTGCCTGTAGCAGTGACGTCTGAGGCTTGACTATGCACAGTATGGGGAAGTATTCCCTTTGTTTGCTCTTTTCAGTCCTGACTGACACATCAGTTGGGTTTTCTCAGTCTTCGAGTTATGATGATCACAACTGACATTTCATTGGCACCTTTCAGGGCGGTAGTGAGGTATATGGTGGCCCTTCCACTGCTCTCCTCCCTGCCTCCCCACTTTTCCCAGCTGAAGAGTCCTTCTGGATATACTTTCTCATTGTATGGAAGGTGCCTGATCACTGGAATGCTCTGTGCTGCCTTTTTTTTGGGTCTTATAAGCCCTTTCTGAGGTGAGAAACCCAGACTGCAAGCAGTCTTACCACTGCTAATACACCATGGACTTTACACACCAGCTAAATGATATTTCCTGATTTGTTTTGAATTCTTTTCCTCTAATTTTATGTCATCCTGATGGCTTTTCTGACTGCTTCATAGCACTGAGTGTGTTGAACATGTCACTGTTTATTATGGTTTTATTTATTGCTCTCTTAAGCAGACAAAATGAATACATGCTTACATAGCATAAAATTATCAAAATAACAGACCTGAATATTCAAAACAACATTAAATCTACTTATTTATGTTTTGTTGAGAAAATGTTTCAAATTGTATCCTAAAATATGCAGAGTTAGATTTTTTTGGCTTACTACGTTTACCTACAGCAATTGGATATGACAAAACCTGCCAAGAGAAAAATGTTATTATCCCCTGAACCATAAACTTGCATGATAATAGTGAGCCATCTAGATATACATGAATCTAAAATTTGATCAGGGCAAGTAACATGAGTATGTTTTGGACAAGGCAGGTTGTGTTTAGTTATTGGAATTTTAGGAGAGAAAACAACTGTGCCCGAGAATGCCGTCTGCATAATATACAAGGAAATATATAAGCCTAATATGTACATGTCTTACATTCTCCATGCAAAATTCAAACTGAGGCATTGCAGTTTACAAAGCAGAAGCAGTTTAACCAGGTGAATTCACAGGAGCCACGTTAGTCCCTGCAGAATTGAAAGGCTGCCTCAGGGATGTCAATGTGCTGATAGGTCAGTAGATTTACCTGTGGGATGGTTATGAGTCATTCGCCCACATTCAATGCTCACTTCAATAAGTGATTCCAGTCTTTCTGGCTTCCAGTATCGCATTCCTAAACACATGGCTTTTGTGGATGCTCCAAATCCAGAACCTAAAGTAAAAAAATATTGCCAAGCATTTAAAGGAGGCGGATGTTACATGGATATGTTGATAAAATGTGAAACAAGCACACTTTATTAATTCAACTCATATGTGTGAAAGGAACTCCTTAGGGAATGGGAAATTACCATGCAAAACAAGTTACAAGTTCTGAAAGTTTCTTGCGAGGAATTTTGCTCCTACACAGTCATTCAGGTTTTCCAATATTTTCAAGTGCTACAAAGAGAATAGTGTGTTCAGAAAGCATTGTGCTTCCTTGCTCACAGCACTTGTTTGATTCAAACTCTCATCTCATCTCTACTCATTCTTGGCTGACACTGCTGTTTTGCTTGCTCCAGATGCCAGCACTAGAAACAGAAGTTTGAGAAACAGATACATTTTTCCTACACCCTTATTTTTGTAGCTGTAAGCACATGATTAAAACACTTTATAGGTGCATCACAGTTCATCTTATAATTTTAATGCATATTTCATCCTAGAGAGCCTCACCAGTTTCTGCTACATACAAAAATGTGTCCAAAAAGAAACTAAAGACTACAGAGCCAAATCCTACAAAGTTATACAGTGTCAGAACTGAAGCTTCCTATGTGACCTGAAATTAGTGCTTGTGTGCACACTCGTTATGCTACAGCCTGCACTTACTGAGCTTGGTCTTGGGAATGTCTGCCTTGTGCAGCACAGAATTTATTTATTGAATAACTAATTCAGAATTCCTTTTAATTCTCAGCACTGAGTGCATGATCCCAGGTATTCACCTTTTAAATGCTTAATTGAATGGAGAGTTAAATTTACTAATGAGTTTCTCTACAGTACTTATCACAATAATATCAGGATCCCACAGAAGTTTTAATGAGCTTATCTTCACAAGGCACCAGTGAGGTGATTATCTCCTCTTTGCAGCTGGTGAGCCAATGCCCAAAAAAGCATTAACTCATTGCAGGCACACATTCTGAGATGCTTAGGCTTCAATTTTTCAAAGTACTTGGCATTTTTCAGCACTGTCTTTGCTCAATCACACTTCCCAGTGACCTTGGGAATAGCTGAGAGCAACCAGCGTTCCTCTACTTGGTCCCTGAAAGATAAGGGACATATTTATGCCACCTAAATTTAGCCTATGTGGAACTTGCATTAGGAGCACAGTCTCCCTGTCCTTCCCAGATAGGCAGCACGGAGAATGGCTGTATGTCCACTGTTGTGTACAATGCCATAGTAGGAGCAACTCATAGGCCAGAGTGAATTGAAGCAGCAGATGCCAAGGAGCCAGGGTCAGGGCTTTCAGTCTCTTATCTGGAGAAGAGCCCTCAGCTGCTCCCCTGCTGTGGGTACAGAGCACCATGGGCTCTCTTGGAACACTGCTTGCCGTTTAGTCTTATCCCAAGTGTCTTCAGCTCCAGTGCCCTAAGATCATGAGTGTGATCCAAATGCGGTCGTGGAGGGGCAGGAAGATCTACTTCAAGTCAAACTGAAGCCTGAGCCAAACTAACATAAGCCACCAATCGGCATTTCCAGCTACAATATCTGAATTTCCCTCTTAAGAAAAGAGCTCTTCTCCCCTCAGAGCAGCTATCTCGAGTGAGCACCCTAGCTAGGTGATCTAGTTAGGTTAGCTGAAGAAAGCTCTTCCCTTCTTCCTCAGAGTCTAATATGCAAATTCTGTGTGCAGTAACTCTTCAAAAAAAGGCCAAACACCTGATAAATGTGACATGAAAGGCTTTTCAGAATACCATTTTATTCTCTGCAGGCTCAGAGCCTGATTCCTTACCCCTGCTACCCTTTCTGACAGTGAAAGGGACCCTCTCCAGAACATCTTTGGCCACTGCTCCTGGTGAAAAGGCTGGATACTTGTCCTGCAAATGGTGTGCTTGTTGCTCCTGATCCTCATAGATGCTGCAGCTGGCTATTAAGGAGTCAGGAGCAGATAAAACTGTCTGCCTATCCCACAGATGACACAGAACTGAAGGAAGAGTCCAGAAAGAAATCCAGTCTTCCAGGGCACCAATCGTCTTAACTGTGAGAAAATATTTTCTCCTTATTGTAAGGCCAAACTCTTCATTAAATCATCGGCTGCCACAGAGCAGCAGATGAGAGTCCTCTTCCCTATGCAAACCTGAATCCTACAAATGACACAATCCAGGATGTTTATCCAAGAAAGGGGGTTCTTGTGCTACACAAAGCTGCTAATGAAATAACATCTCTCAGTGTATCCAAAGTGGAGGATGTACTACATCCTGGCCTGAAGTAGCTTGTCTTTGTAACTTCATTGTGTTTCTCCGGTCTTGGAAGTTACATTAAAACCTTCTGCAGAATTAGACAAGCAAACTCAGTAACAAAAAATTCGGTCACATGGAGTAACAGTAAAGCCAGAGAGGGCTTCAGGTGCTTGGCAGCTGTTATCTCCCATACCTCAGTATCTACCATTTGAATCAATGACGTAAGGGACACCGAGACTAGTCCAAGCAACAGGAGAGACACATGTAAGAACATAAGGACTGTCCTCCATGATCAGACCAATGGTCAACCCAACTTATCATGTCTGACAGTGGCCAATGAAGAGGATACTTAAGAAAGAGTAAAAGAAAAGTACTATGACCCCTTCTACTAAGCTGCTGACAATTTGCCTCCCTGATCCAGGAGGCAGCTGGCTATTTGTCTTTCTGCTTAATAACCCTTGAAGGATTTCCCTTGGTTGAACTTACCCAGCTCTTTTTTGAACTCATGTGAACTGTAGCATCTCTGCAAACTGGCATTGGAAAATAGTTATGCAGCCTAATTAGGTGTTGTGTGAAGAAGTCCTTTCTTTTGCTTGCTTTGAGCTCATGGCCTCCTACTTTCACTTGAAGTCCCTAGATGCTGTCTTGGAGGAGACAGTGACTTTTTGCTTTTCCTATTCATGTTTCCAGTTATTTATGACTTTACAGCTCTCTATTGTAATGTCTCAGACATCACAGCCCTTGGAAGCAGGTTTTTTACCAATCCAACCACCTTTCCTCATATCCTTTCTAATTGTCTTCCATCCTTGTGGCAGGAGGGAGGGATCAGATCATATACAATAATCAAGAAACAGTGGATTTGGATTTATACAGTGGTGCAAACATATTTTGTGTTTTGTTGTCTGTTCCTTTCATGGTCATTTCTAATTGTCTAATTGTTTTCTGGCTCTTATACAGCACTGAAATGATGTTCTTGTAGAACTATTATAGCTCCATGATCCCTTCCCTGAGTGGTATCTGGATAAAAACTGCATCTATATATATTAAATTAGGATTTCCCATTCCCCCATGTATGACTTCTCACTTATCTGTGTTGTACTTGGTTCTGCTGCTGTGCCACACAGTTGTGCATCACTGTGAGCATCTTTTACAACTCTGCATCATGTTGTCTTTGACTTTGTTGACCTGCTATTTCCAGACAGTTTGTGGACATGTTGAACAATAGAGGCCACAAAAGCTGTGTTGACACCTCTTATTAATTAATTTTCATATTATTCTCTTTTAGTATGTAATACCTCACTGCACTTTTCTTCACTCTACATCTGTAGAATAACAAAGATTAGGGTAATGGCTGCTAAGCCCTGAAGACAAAAGCGTGTCTTTTGTGACTACAGACCATTCTGCATGAGAACTTAGAAACTTGTACCTTTATGTCCTGTGCATCTGCAGCTTTTTCTCTTCATTTTCTCCCCCTCAACTTTCTGCATTTAACTCACACTTTTCCCTCATGCTCCTCTGCCAGTGCCAACAGCAAAAGGGCACTGTTCTGAAGTGCTTCTCGGAAGCCCAGCAACTACAAACAAAGGCCTGCTTGGATGCTGCAGCCTCAGCCTGAAATTCACGATACAGGTAGAGCCAAGCTATTTGACTGGCCATTTGTTGTAAATTGTAAACAAACTCTTAAAATGGAAGGTGTTAGGCAGGTCTTCTGGTGGTCACAGGAATCTCACCAGCAATAACTCAGGTACCTCTGCAACCAGTGTGACAATGAGCATGACATGAGGTGGCAAAGAGACACACAGGGCAGTTTGACTTATGAACTCAGTTTGCTGACTACATCCATAAGAATTTGAGCAGAGAAGCATCTTATAAGCAATGCAAAATTACCCAAGCTAAGATTTCACTGGTCCATGAAGGCTGGCACATAAATTATTGCTAGAAGCAAGATAAGATAGAACGACCACAGCAAATCAGCCTTTTGGTTCCAGCTTATCCAAAATATAATCTGACTGTTAGGCATTCAATGCTAGACATTCAACGCCTGTGGCGTGTTTTCGCCTCAAGAAGAATTTTGTGAAAATTTGATTATAAGTTAATTAAGTCCACAGCAGCGTCAGGTCCCATAGTAGACCTAACATCTCCCGCTCAGTCACTGGTTCTTTTGCTCTCAGGGTGAAAAAAAAGACTTCTTGAGATGTTCAGGATGCTTATTTGTCAGACCAGATGGAGAAGGTTGTCTTCAGCTCTCAGATCTCAAAGCAAGAATTAATTTTAGATCTTTCTAGCCCAGAGTACCCCCAAAAGCAGATAATTCATCATGGACAGCTGAGGAGGAGGAAGGCTAAAAGAAGAGATGTAGCTCCAGTACAGCAATGGGCCAGGGAACAGCCATGTTCAACTGCTTATTGAGCAATGCTGAGAGCTGCTTGGGGCCAATGGCCACTCCCACAATTATTTTGACCAAATTTTATCCACTGGCAATCAGAAAACATGTGACAACTCCCAAAGGGGCACTTTCTCAAATCTGACCAGCTGATAGCAGGGTGGGCAGAATACCCATTTTGCTTCCAGCAGCTGTTGTGAGGAGCGGGGGATGAGTGAGAAATGCTTTTTGTGTCAAAGAAAACTGACTGCAGAGACCCAGAAATAGCCATGGCACTGTGCCACCAGATCTTTGCCTCGGTGTTGCATCAATGTGCGGTTCTGTTGAGCAAGGCCAATACGTACCGCAGTGGCAGAATGTCACACCGACACAGCACAACATCCCTGTGAGCTGCCATCGTTTCATGGCTGCCTGGGTCTATCTCCTCTGGTGATGTGGTGTCTCTACAGGCTTTCAAGATTAATTGCACTGGATGGGTATGTGTTGTGCATACAGCTGCACACTTGTTATTTAACTTGAAGTGGAAATTCTATTCATTGTAAAAGTAAATTATCATAAAGAGAGAGAAAGAGAGGGTCAGGGGTAGGTAGACCAAGCTAGGAATATTAGGGATTATTGGCAAAACAGTGATAGTTTTCAGCAGGGCACCCAACTGGAGAAAAGTTTCTGTTTTCCTTCCAGTAAACACATTGGTGCTTAGAGCAATTTACAGGCTTGGCATTTAATTTCGTATCTGGTATCACTGAAAAGATCCAACTCTACAAATGTTTAAACGAAAAATGGCAGAAAATATTTCTTAAAATAACCATTAAACTCAAGGACAATGATCTGGACCCTGAGGCACAGAGCCAAGGACAAAGTCTCTTTAAATAGATGTTAAAGAGGGAGGGGTTCGTTTAAGAGAGGACACAGTGCCCTACAGAAGGAATTCTTGGCAGATCTCTTGCCATCCTCAGGCAAACATGGAAAGGTTTCAGGGGTAGTGGCCTTTGATGTCAGGGGGGAAAAGGAAACAATTTCCATATAGCCACAAACACTGAGAGCATGCATTATTCCAGCCAGGACCTATAAAAGGAAAGCAGTACCGTACCCTTTTCATTGAACGGTGTGTGCCAGGCGAGAAGGTGGTTGTCTGGTTTTAATTCCCTACAGCCTTCGATGGTGGCGGGGTCTGGCCGCCTGCCCGAGAGCTTGTCGATAGCATCCACGTACCGTTTTACCAGCTCCCGGTACAGGTCTTCTAAACACCAGTAATCTGCTCAGGGGAGGGAAGAGAAGGTTGTTGTGTCATGGCAGAAGAGCAAAAGAGCTTGGAAAACACGCAAGTAAGCTCATTATGCATTAAAGAAATATTTCTGTTTTCACTTCCAATACACCAAGTCATATTCCTGGTGCCACTGTCAACACATTCTTACACACCATGAAAGTGGGCTGGAGGGAGAATGGTCTTAACTCTCAATTCTCATCTTTTCCTCAGTACCTTTCCACTTTTAATTCCTTCAACTAGAAAGAAGGCATTCTATTAATCAACAGCAGCTGCTCAAGGCCTATATTTAAGCTCTGTGGTGTGAAGTAATTACAGAGGTGTCCATCTGTCAGGTGAGAGCATGGCTGCCAGGGGGACTGGGAGAAGACAGCTGTGCCTGGCTTGGCCCCTGCCTTTGCAGGTGTCAATCGAATCTAAAAATGAAAGCCTATTTTCTTTTAATTACCACACTACAGAATTACTTTAAGAGCTACGTATAACTAAACACAAGGGCAAATTAGTGACCTTCTTTTTTTAATCTATATTTTACATGTATTTTGTCTAAAATTTGTAGGTCTTTCATGCAGGGATGCCAAGATCTTATGTCAGTATAGTATCAAGAACAGTGAGCTTTTATAAAAAATATTATAAAGATCAGTAAGAGTAGTAAATCCCTAAAGTCTATAGCATTTCCAGCAGATAAATTTCTCTCTGTAATAAGTTAACTAACAATATCTGTTTATAGATTATTTTTACCAAGTCCTACAATTTTGCCTAGGGATGAACATATACTGTAAAACATATACTGTTTCTTCATACAGCTGCTTCTCTTGGCTGGTGTTGTGTATTGTTGGGCTTGAAGAGTCCTGCCTTTGGCTCTTGTTGAAGAAAACCTTCCACTGCCATCTATCATAGCTGTGTAGTCAGTGGGAACACAGGAGGCCAAAGGGATTTATCCACTTGTGTATTTTCTATGTACTTAGAGAAACTCTATTTAATACTTAGTTTGATGCACAGGTTGAATAATACAGCAGGGGAAGTTCTTCTAAAAATATCTTCATTTTATCGGAGATGGTGAATTCTTGAAATCCACAGAAGCAGTTTAATTTAAGAGAAAGTTTGGAGTCCCAGAAGCCAGAGACACTCTGAAGTACCAGTTATGCAGGCAGGCAAATAAAGAAGATGAAGGGAAAAACAAAGATTCCCCTCCTTTCACATAAAGTAATACCCTACCCATTACACTGGCTATCCCACATACAATCCTAAAGAAACAAGACACTTTCAAGCTGCCAGCTCTTTCCATATTTAGGAGTCATGTGTCGCAGTTTATCCAGATGGGAGCTAGGAGCAGGATTTACTGCCTTGGCGTTTCCTACAGAAACCTTGTCCCCAGAGCCATAGTCCCTGTAGTCCAGCACCTCTGGGCTGCTCAAGCCCACCATGGTTCCCACACATGGAGCCAGGCTGCTGTCTCAGCTGTCAATCAGACAGGTCCTTTCTTTAGAAATGAACCCTTATATTTTATAAACCCATGTCTAAGAGAGGAAAAGATTTTCCTTGCTGCAGGGATAGTTCCCCTGGATTTGATGATGCTGTTCTTGTTCCTCCCTTATGGGACAGACTCCTGCTGGAAGTGGATGTTCTGTTTATCCTTCACTGTCAGATCAGCCTTTCAGTCTGTGCACATGGTGGATTCGGGGATCACCAACTCAGTCTGCAGCAGTGTCCACAGTCCCAGCTGCTTCTGGCCATGACACTTCTGGAATGTCTTCCTTGCAGCCAGCAAGGCGATGGCCAAAATCCCCTCTCCAGGTGAGAACTGCCTTTGCCTTAACACAAGCATTCACCTCATGATTGGCTGCTGCCACAGGCTGAGAGCTCTCCTGAGGGCAGTGCCACAGTGATGGGATAACATGGTGAGCCTAAGCCCTGGGCACCTTCATCCCAGTCTGCAAGCACCCTGCAATTGCCGGCAGCTATGCATCCAGGGGATGTGGTGGCCAGCAGGCAGCTAGCCAGGCAAACAGGATGTGCATGGAGCAGGGCAGTGAGGGACAGGGATATTTTTATTGCCTTTTTTTTTAAATTGGTAATGTTCCAGACACCCAGTATATTCTTTAAAATCTCAGTCTCCACAGCAGTGAGGGCTGACTCCCCCCTGCATGAGGAATGCAGGTTTCCAGGGCTGGTGGCAGCTGCAGCCTCACAGACCCACATTCACCTTCTTTAGCTTCGCTCTGTTGACGTGGTTGATTTGGCACACAGGCTGGGCCATGAGCAAGTCCTGGAGCCGTTTTGCATCCCCCCTGCCAGGAGGAGACACTGCTGCAGGCAGGAGTGGTTCTTGTTTCCCTTGTGGGAAGCAGAGAGAAAGACTCATTTTCTCCTGTTCACCAGTGTTACTGTGAAATGAAGATTTCTTACTAGAATTCCCTACTCCATCTTGCTGTTTTTTCTCCAGACCATGAAAGCACCTTTTTAAAATGCTTGATCAGGCCAAAGAAATGAGAGTGTAGGATAAACACAGTCAACAGAAATTATAGCTAAAACTTTTATTTTAGAGCCACAGTCCTCCTGCTATATTTAATTAAAAGTTATTTATTATTTTATTGTTAGTCTAACTGGCTTGGTTACCCAGAAGTTATGGTTTTAGAGAGTTCAATAAGCAAGAAACATATGATACGTATTTAATCATACCCTATATTCAGAAATATTCTAGTCATCTTTTTTCTTGATAGGCTGACATCTTGCTCTTATCTTTAGTGTATTAGCTGTCCCTTAAACCATTGGTTAACTGATAGCCAAGTATGAAGGGCCCAACACACTCTTCAGCTGATCTCTATGTACTAAATTTAGAGCACATTGGAAGCAGGCAGATAAAGCAGTGAAACAGGAGCACCAGGGAAACTTCATTGATGTGAAGAATACTTAACTGCATTGTGAGCTTCTGTTACTAGGAGTTATGCAGTCTTATGAGTTTTCAGAAAAAATTATAAATATTTTTACAGAGATTAAAAAAATTGATTAATTCTGAAGAGGCAAAATGCTGCTGAGACGTCACCGTTTTCTGGTGTACTTTCTATAGTCTTGACAGTCTCGGAAAGCTCTAGTTTGACAGGTAATGAGTCAATATAAATACTATCATATCTTAAAAAGGCTATACCTTAAGAAAAAAACCAAATGTTCTCTCTCAAACTGTTGGGATTTTAGAAGGCATAGCTTAATAACTTCCACAATTCTGACAGACTTTATTATAAGCATAGTATGTTAGAATACTTTTTGGACTAAAGACATGGAATTCTCCTTATAAAACAAATAGTACTTTTTCTGGCCTTGCTGGTGCAACCTTTTGTCTGAGGTGTAGCAGAAAGGAGACAGTGCTAGTGCTTTTAGCCTGAAAGCAGTATTAAGGCAACTCTATCCAGTCTGGAGTTCTGAACACAAATATGTTAAAAATGCACTTAGAAGAGTTCTTATCGGTTACAGACGAATCTCTATTATTATATTATTCCCTGATGTATTCCAGCATACAGATAATACACTTAGCAATTATTTTTGTTATGCTGCACATGTGGTATTTAGTCTTTAAGCTTTAACTAACTGTATATATCTAGGGAAAATAAAGGGAGAGCACCTCCACTACAGAAATCAAGACTTACCAGTTTGCGTGATGGTCATAGGATTGTGCTCATGGAGGAGCCAAACTAACGCACATTAGCATTCACATAAGCAGCATTTCTGACACGCTTTCTCATGACTTCCCCAGCAATCAGGCTTATTTTAAGAAATGCAGCACCTTGACAGTTCTGTTCCTCTCCAGACTGCATTCACTAGTCCCATCGTACCTACCTGTGATGACAGCCTCAGCTGTAGCCATGTGCATGAGCGTGTTGTCACTTACTGGCCACTTGTCGGAAGAGAGCACCAGGTTCTCAAGCCCTCCAATTTCCTTCAGCTCCTGCTGGATTTTTGCACCTAAGGCATTGTTTTCTCGGGAGAAATTGCGATAACCGAGAGCATCCCCTACCCCAGCCAGCACGAGTGCAGCTTTAAACTTATCCATCCCTGAGACGCTTCCTACTTTCCTTTTGCCCAAGACAGTCACTGAATCTTGATCTTCCTTTGTTCCTTTGCCTTCAACTCAGCTCCCCCGACACTTTATATCAGCCATTGTGTCACACCGACAGCGCTCTCTATAAGGCAAGGACTTCCTTTTCTGGCTCAGCAGATGCCATCTCTTGTCCGAGACCCGACAGAGAGGAAATATTTCATAACCCAGGGAGTTTGCAGGGGTTTTGTTCAATGAAACTGTAAGAGTAGACCTGCAAAAGCCTCAATTCAGCAACCCAGCATAAAGCAAGCCAGGAGATCCTTAGCCCTACCCAGCATAAGTAACTCTACACCCAGAAAAACAGATGCCTCCACAGGGGTGCTTATTTATTCAATAACCTGTAAATTAATATTTTTTCGCCCATTTCTGGTATGCTGAAGTCAACCTCTCTCTCAGGGACCAGTCAGAAGGAAAGCCTGTTATAAAAGCAGTTTTTCAGACTCTGTACACACTAGAATGAGGGATTAAGCAGTAAGAAATCTAGTCAAATGCAGATGACCTCTCCCATTTCTAATTATGCTCTATGGTGATATTTTGTTAACAGCTTTCTTGTTCTGTTCCACCTAGTACAAGAATGTTCTGCTAATTCACTGCACCCCTGGATAAACACTGACCAAAACACCAACTTCAATTTCATGCCTTACTCCCTAGCAAAGAGCGACTTTTTCCTGAAGCTGAGCTCAGGTGCAGCCCACACTTAGACTCTGGAAGGAAACTATTTTGAAAGATGTATTTAAATGGCATCCTGTGAGTGTAAGAAAGTCCTAAAGACTCACAGATTACTACTACTTTACAGATAGAAATACAAATGTAAATATAAACTTAGGTAAATAAACAGAAAGCTTTGATTGACTTGACTGTACTTTTGATAAAGGATACCTGGGGAAAGGTCTTTGCTTTTCTTTGATCTTTTTCAGAGACCAATAATGATTGCTATTTAGATGGAAAAGGCCAGCAGTGTAAAGCATGCATCCATCCTCCTAGCACCCAAAGCAATAAGCAGTTAATCATAGTCTGAGTTACTGGCACATGTAGAAATATCACTGGACTTAATGGAGTTTCAGGACACAGAGAAGCATTGCCATGCCTGTTCTACATTATAGGAAATAAAGTGCCCAAGTGGTGAAAGTAGCCTCTGTGAGTACACATTTGTTTTAAAGATTGCAACTTGGTTAACAGAAGAACTGAGTATTAGGAAAAGGACACTGAGAGTCTTTTCATTGATAGAAAGCAACATCTCTGCCCCGAAAAAGAAAAAAAAAAAGGCAATTATGCCTTAGGATGCCAGGATGCGAGGGGCATCATGCAGGTACTAGAGGATATGCAGGGCCAAGTGTCCTACAGTAGGGCCATAGCCAGCCTGCTCTAGAGCTGGCTTGCCACGAAAAGTGAGGATGCCCTGCATGGCTGTAGGAATAAGCATCATCTCCCACAGCCCGGGCATTTATGCAACGTAGAGGTAATCTTAGAGCCACCCCTGCACTGCTAGTTATCTCAGGTTCCACGTGTCTGAAAGCAAACACTCAAGATGGAAAACCAAGGCCAGGACAGCTTAGGAAAACACACCAGGCAGAAGCACTGACATTGATTTCTCTGTTACAGGTCCATCCACCCTTCTGTGGCACCCACCTGTTCTCTATTCCTGCATAGCATCACGATTTGGAGGCACATGGGAATTTGAGCTTGCAAAGCAAGGACAGGAGAAATCACCTGCTGAGGCACTGTGGTGAGGTAGTAAGGGCCTCATCAGATAGAAGGTTCCTTTCTGAAAATGGGCAAAGCTATTCTTAGTTTTCCATTTATCTTTTCCTTCTGAATGTGGCTGGCAGTTGCACTGCCCTTTTGCCTCCCGTGGACTTTACCCTGTTGCACACACACTTGGCTGCTCATAACACAGCTCAAATTAGGAATAAAATCTCTGGCTTCAGAAATAAGAGTATAATAAAAACCCAAAGAAAAATTCAGAGAAGTTCTATTTCTCAACCCTACAAAATAGAACATGCAACAAAGAAATTTTTATTTAATTTATTAATTACATGTGATCTTTTTTTCATGTACTTCTATCGCCTGTGAGCTTTCTGGGCAGAGGTAGGCTAGACACACTGATAACTACCCCTACTCCCCACAACAGAGACAATTATTTGTAAAACATCATACTTACGTGTCTTAAACAGAAACAAAAGACAGTAACTCCATTAAGATGAAGAAGTATGCACAACAGGAAAAAAACCCACCAAAACAAGCAGAGTTTACAAAAATGTTTGGTAAATCATAAAAATGCAGCTTTGTGTCCTTTCAGTAGTGTATATATGACTGTTTTTAGATGGGGAGAATCCAGAAAAAAAGGAATGGGAAGGCTGGACAGAGAAAAGGCTTGTCTGCGTTGGTGGCAATACGCTGTTTCAGCTTAACTGTATTTGAAATGCAATGTGAAAACATGGAAGCACACCTTTGGCAGATGTGGCTGCTCCTGCCTCCTCCACCTGAGGGGCTCTGCATTGATGATCTCCAGCACCCAGGTGAGGGCTCATGTGCTGTACAGGCACTGAGGTCTTCTGTGAATAAATGAACTGGCAAATGGACCAACAATGCTGTGTCCACATAAGCCCTTTTCAAGTTAAAAGAAGACAACTACACCCCAAGTGTTTCACCCATGAGTGAGTGGCTGATGCTTCTGCCATTCAGAAACACTCAGCAGAGAAATGCTCCAAGTTCACCCATCCAAAGGATTCAGAGCCATATCCTGGAAAATATGATTGATACCAGATGGGTGTCAGACTTCTGTTAGAGTTGCATCTTTTCAACAATTGAAATGAAGGACTTTACTTTAGCAACAGGATCATTCCTTTAAAACACATTCACTGAGATCCAGGAAAAAAAAGAGACTGATTTTATGCAATTCTTTAACAATGGAGATGAATAATTTTCACACAGTTTTACATCACTGCTTTAAAGGAAAAATAATCCTTTAGCAACACAGTATGGACTTCTTTTCACTCTTGACAGAAAGCTCAAGTCTTGACGTGAAGCCTATGGGGTTTGCCAAACGAGAGTATATCACTGCTTGGAAAAGGAGGCACAAGAAAAAACACATGGGAATTTGTCAAATATATGCACCAAGGGGAAGTATCTCAACACTCAATCAAAACTTGAATGCCCCTAAGCTTCCCCACCCCTTCTCATTAAGAGGTGAACATTGCACCCATTTGTCTGAAATACGGTATTTTCTGCATGTGGTTGTAGAGGCAGCTGCAGTTGCAGATCCCTCTGTCAACAGTTTAAAACAAAAAAGTTAATTTTAGAGGTGTGTCATCCTCATCTCTAATTCTACCCAGCACACTGTATATAAAGAAAAGATCAGAAAACACATTTTGCTGAACTGGTTCATGGTTGTAAAAATATTACACTTTTTCTCATTCAGAAGGGCTGTGCCTTTTCGTGGGCCAGATGCTGGTTGGCATCAGCTGAGGGAAGCTACTGGTGCTGACACCTGAAAGGAAAAGAGCTTGCTGTGGTTCAAGTATTTTTTGCTGTTACAGGAAAAGGAAGACAAGACTCGTGTGACACCAAAGCAGCCAGTGGTTGGTGAAAGCAGCTGGGTGAGGACGGAGGGCAACTTAATTATTTTGATTTCAACTTTCAGAAGGGAATTCATGACAGGTGAATACATACCTCTGAAGGTCTTTGCACACACTTCTGAGCATGCTGCTGCTCCTACAGAGTTCAGAACCCGGACTGAGCAACACTTTCCCTGCAATTACACCTCTCATTGCCAGTACGAACTAATAACACAAATTGCAGAGTTTGGGCACTAGCATGTAGCGACTACATGTAGTGAACACAGCACTGCAGCTAAGCATGTCAAGCTTCTTAAAAGCTTAAACATGGCATAGATGAGCAAACCAAACATTATAGCTAGTCAAAAGTTAATGAGTTACATTCTTGCCCTCTTCTGGCTGATGGTATAATAATGGAAGAACGTAATAAATGAACCAGATAACAAAAAACCCACTGGCCTTTGCAAGACTTCCAAAGCAGAAAGCTGATGAAAACCATACAGACGTCTCACATGACTGACTTCAATCATTTATGTTGACAGTCCATTTATTCCTTTTTCCATTGCCACAAAATTTACACACGTACAGCTTACTCAGCAGCAAATCTCCCAGGTGCATTGAATGAGCAGATGCCTGCAGGTTTGCTCTCCTTGGCATGACACACATGATAAATTACATTTAAATTTAGAATTGGCAAGTACAAATCCTATGGCTCAGTTTCAAACCCTCTAGGATGTAAAACCAAACAACTTGGCACCAACTTTAAAAATTCATACAGCATATCTGTGAAGTAATACTGTATGCACCGAACAACTTGAAGACATCTGTACCATTTATAATTATAAATTGAACAGCCTAGGTGTTACCACTGTATCAGCTTACTTAAAAAGTAAGGTCAGAGTGCCCTGTAAAGTGGAACTGTGGATAGCAGATAATTATTAAAATACATAAGAAACTCATAATTTCAAAGCAATTTATTTGTATTTTTAATGATCAAGTGTGAAGGTGTTACTCCATGCTATTATGTATGGGAATGCAAAAAGCATATGTGGTTTTAAAGGGATAGAATACCAGGAAGAACAAAAGAAAAAGAACACTACACCTCAGAAGCTGGCTGATAAGAAGCAACTCCTATCTTCAGATATTTTACCCACTCCTCCTGGGTTGGAAGGTTGTTTCCCATGAAGGATCCTCACAGGAAGGAGGCTTAAGAGGGAGTAAAAGTATATATATAGAAACTGATTACTGTGCTAAGCACCTTCCCTCTTGCTTAGATTAACAAGGCAAAAAAACCTCAATTCCCATGCCTTTTTTATGCTCTATTTATTTTAAAAGGTAAAAGGTTCATCAGATTGATTTGAAGGAATTCTCAGCATGAACAAATGTTTCACAAGC